CTTTCAGGGATATCTTATTTCACCCACTGACTGAATTCATGGGGTGGGGAACAAACAGGCCCCACGCAAGGCAGGAGGACCAAATAGGTCCTAGGATGTAATAAGAGCAAGCGCCTTCTTGCTCTGTAGAGTCTCTAGGGCCTTTCGGACTCCAGGGTCCATCTCCAATGACAGGGCAGTGGGGAAGGAGCAGGGTCCTCAGCCCCTTTCTGGCTCTTTCCTCTTTTCTTTCCTCCCTTCCTTCGGTCCTCCTCCTTCAGCCCCACCTCCACAATCAGCGGTGGGTCCAGGAGGAGGCCCTTGGCCTGCAGGCTGCTCCCTGAAAGGTGGCAGGCTAGAATGACCTTAGAGGAGCCTAGGAAGAAAGGCCTGGCGGTTGACTTCTGAAAAACCCTCTGTTGGAAACCCTTTGGTGCTCAGCTCTGCTCTGACACACACATGGAGTCCCTGTCTTCTGGAACACACTCCACGGGATTGGTGCAGTTCTGGGGCAGACACCGAGTTAGGGCTGAAAGGATAGTGGCTGAATTTTGGAGGCAGAGGGCAAAGGTCACCTTCATGTCTCTCCTCTGGTTTCTGCTGCTAGAGAGGGCAAGTCAGAGTTCACGCCCATGGACTAGAGCCAGCTCCTCATGGTGCTGAAACCCACAGTTGGCTCCCTTCAAGGCTGAGGAGCCACCCCTCCCCTAAGTCTGAGCCGCCTCTGTTCCCACCAAGACCCTCCTTGGTTGGCTCTGAGAGCTCGTTCTCCAAGCTACTTCCAGACTCCTGCCCTGTCTTTTTATTTCCACCACACAGATACCTGCCACGTGTTCACTTCACACAGTCCCCAACATATGGTCTCATAAATATGCGTGCACACACGCAGTCACACAGGCTCCTCATGTCCACACACACAGTCCCACAGGCCTTCTGTCACACAAACATATAGACTCCCAAGGCCACAATCCACCCACAGGTACACTCTGCACAACCACACCGACCTACACAGCACACAGGCACTAGGCCAGCCAGCATCGTGGTCTCCTGCATTCATACAGGTGCACACCTGCCCAGGTGTGCAGCTGTATCCCAAGGACTTGGGGCCCTTCAGGACCTGCTGCTTCTCATTCGAGTCCATCAGCCGCCCCTTCAAGGAGATACGTAGCCTGTGATTTCACGACAGACACGGAATGGACTTTCCTCCCCTACACGGCATGTAAGACCAACACATCCTGCTCAGTGCAACACGGAGGGTGTGCTCAGTGACCACCCCTCCTTTCATCTGCATGGCCCAATGCGATCTCACCCCCTCACCCCCTCATAATGCCCACCCTGCTAGTGGGCAGGCAGGTCCTCACCATGCAGAGAAACGGAGGCTTTCCAAGGATGAGAAAGCTGCCTGTAAAAATCCTGCTAAGATGAGGGATTCAAACACCAAGTCCAGAGAGCTTTAGCCAACTCCTGAGGGGCGCTGGGCTGGAGAGATCTATTCTGGGTCTCACCCGCTTCAAAGTCTCAGCTCCCTCACCTGCCACCTCAGGGCTTGTCCAGGCCCATGAGGAACAGCAGGTGTAGAGGGTGGAGGCTGGGTCAGGAGAGAGCCCACAGGTTGGTGCCACCCCCAAGGACCCCCCTAATTTCTTGGGGTCCTCCCTGTAGAAACCCCAAGCCATTTCCTCTCAGGGCCCTGATTCTCACACGACCCAAGTAGCCATTTTTCAGGACTGCACTTGAGAGTTTATAGAAAACTAGA